GAGCTACCTCACTGGCAGTCGCCCGAGTCTTCAACAGTACACGTCAATGCCGTCACCATGAAACGGGATGTCGCTGCTGGAGCTGATGTGTACGCACTAGACATTGCAGTAGTAGAGGGAGCAGAGCAGTCGAGTGATTTCAAGAAACTGCTGGCAGCGATACCACCCGAACTACAGGAAATGTTGAAACGATACCCCGGGATTTTTCCCGACGACTTACCGGAAGGGCTGCCACCTCAGCGTGCACATGACCACCGAATAGAATTAGAACCGGGGGCACAGCCAACTGTACAGCGCCAGTTCAGATTGACACAGCGCGAGCTCGACGAACTAAGGAAGCAGTTAGATTACCTGTTAGAGAAATAATTCATCCGACCAAGCTCGTCACCGTTCGCCGCACCGATACTGTTCACGCCGAAAAAAGACGGTGGTTTTCACATGTGCATCGATTACCGAGCGCTCAACAGGGTAACAGTCAAGTCGCGATACCCCATTCCCCGCGCCAACGAACTGATCGACCAACTGCGAACAGTCATGCCTTTTGGGCTGACCAATGCACCAGCGACATTTCAGATGACCATGAACGAGGCGTTTAGGCCACTTTTAGATAAATGCGTGATAGTTTACCTCGACGACATCCTCGTCTACAGTCGCGACAAGCAGCAGCACTTAGCAGATCTGGAAGCAGTATTTAAGATTTTAGACGAGCATCGCCTACTGACAAAGGGTTCCAAGTGCGAGTTCTTTCAGGACAGGTTAGAATTTTTGGGACACGTTATTTCGGAGGTTGGGGTCGAAATTGACCCAAAGAAGTTAGACACGGTGAAAGCCTGGCACCCCCCGATGAACATCACGGAACTGTAAAGTTTTTTGGGGTTCGTAAACTACGTGCGTCGGTTCGTCCCCGACATGGCACGGTTAACGGCGCCGCTGACAGACTTATTACGGAAGGGGGTCGCTTTTACGTGGGGGGAGAAAGAGCATGCTGCCTTCTCTAACCTAAAAAATGTTCTTTGTTCACCGCCCGTCCTGCGCATCGCTGACCCACACCGCCCGTTCGAAGTAGTTACCGACGCAAGCGACATCGCCATCGGAGCCGTACTGCTACAGGATTTCGGCAGCGGCCTACATCCCATCGCATACGAGTCACGAAAACTGCATCCGCCCGAGAAAAATTACCCGATACACGACCGCGAAATGCTTGCGATCGTGCACGCGTTCAAAGTGTGGCGCTGTAACTTGACCGGCGCGGACGTCACAATGCGGACAGACCATAAATCTCTACAGTACCTTCGCGCACAGCCACACCTCAACCCACGACAGATTCGCTGGTTCGATTTCCTCAAGTCCAATTTTCACTACACGGTGACCTACAAGAAAAGGAGCCTCAAACATCGCCGACGCACTGACCCGCCCCACTGCCCAGATCCACGCAATACTACTCGCCCAGACCAGTCCCCTACTGACAGGCCTATTTACCCATGGGTACCAAACAGACCCATTCTTCATAGGAGGAAATTCGCAGCAGTTCGCAGCAGCAAGAGGAGTCTATTACGTAAAAGCCGGGACCGACTGCATCTGGGTGCCTGGGTATAGACTGCTACGAGAATTACTGTTATACGAGGCATTTCGGGGTAGAAAAGACACGGCAGCAGCTGCAGCGGTATTACTACTGGCCTGAAATGTTGACCGACGTACAACGACACGTGGCATCGTGTCCCACTTGCCAGCTCATGAAATCATCACGACAGCGGCCGGCAGGACAGTTGCAGCCGATACCACCCCCAGAACGTGCTTGGCAGCAGGTGACGATTGACTTCGTCACGGGGTTACCGGCCGGGGCGAGTGGGAACGACGTGATCCTGGTCGTCGTCGTTCGACTAACGAAAATGGCACATTTCGCAGCCTGCAAAAAATCAATCACAGCCGAAGAAACAGCACGCCTCTTCATCTCCACCGTCGTTCGACTGCACGGGATACCAGCAGCAATAATCAGCGACCGCGACACGAAATTCACCAGCAACTTCTGGCGGAACCTGTGGCAGCAGTTCGGCACGTGACTACAGTTCAGCTCCTCGTACCACCCCGAAACTGACGGACGAACAGAACGGACAAACCAGACCATGGAGCAACTCATCCGAGCCACGTGCGACGACCCAACCACCTGGGAACAACAGCTGCCACTCATCGAATTCGCATACAACAACTCACCATCCGCCACGACCCAACAGTCACCGTTTTACCTAAACTACGGACAAGACCCAACAGTACCCATGACCCCGAATCCCGACAACCCAGCGCCACGAGCACAACAGTTCGCCGAAATATTACAAGCAGCACGTGTCAGAACTTATATTATGTAACTGCCTGTAGCTGTAGTTAGTGTAGTTGTCTAAATCTGTAGATGGTGCACCTCTTCCTTGTGTTTCCTATGCTATATGTTCCTTGAACCTGTAGTGAAACCCACCTTTTTACCTTTCCAACTTTTCTCGACTCTCCCCTCCCTAGGCAAAACCCACTCGATACCTAAGTTGGGCCTAGGCTTCTAAGCCTAGGCCCTAGTTACTACTCAGCTCACTCTCGCTTATTTTAACATGGTTATCAGAGCAGTTTCGTCCTGGCCTGTGGGCCCGCCCAATTCTTCCGCTGCTGGATTTCTGGTCACGCGCCTCGGGCGCGTGACGTTTTACTTTTCTACCCGTCGCGGACCCGCCCCCTTTGGCGCCCGCGGCGGTGCACTTGGCGCCCGCGGACCCGCCTCTGGCGCCCGCAGCGGTGCCCTTTGCCGTCGCGGACCCCCCTTTGGCGCTCGCGGCGGTGCACTTGGCGCCCGCGGACCCGCCTCTGGCGCCCGCGGCGGTGCCCTTTGCCGTCGCGGACCCGCCTTTGGCGCCCGCGGCGGTGCCCTTGGCGCCCGCGGACCCGCCTCTGGCGCCCGCGGCGGTGCCCTGCGCCATCGCGGACCCGCCCCTGGCGCCCGCGGCGGTGCCCTTGAGCCGCCGCGGACCCGCCCTTGGCGCCTGCGACGGTGCTTTCCGCACCTGCATTCCCTGCAGCTGCCCCTGACCTACCTGCATCGACCCTATCTAGCCGCTCTGCGGCTTTCTTCCCGCCCACCCCCTCCTCCTTCATCTCCCTGCAGCCGTGGGGGGGAGGGTATGGGGGTGGCGGGTGTTGGAGTTGTGGGTCGTACCCTTCCCTTCCCCTCCTCCTCCTTTTGTTCCCACTGCTGCAGCTGCCGCTGGGGGGGAGGGTGTGAGGGTGTGGGGGAGCAGGGGGAGAGGCGCCGGGGTGGCGGGTGTGAGGCAACCAGCAGCCGTCCCTCCACCTCTCCTCTCTCCCCCCCCTCTCTGCTGCTCCTGCAGCAGTGTGGGGGAGGGGAAGGAGGAGGGTGAGAAGATGGAGGGGGTGACCTACTTGTGTCAGCTCGCCTGCAGTTCCTGCTGTTGCTTGTTCTTTATTATTTTGCATGTGTACACCTGCAGGTTGTATTCTACACAAACTCCTGCTGCAGGCAGTTATGGGGGAGTGTCAGAACTTATATTATGTAACTGCCTGTAGCTGTAGTTAGTGTAGTTATTTAAATCTGTAGGTGGTGCACCTCTTGCTTGTGTTTCCTATGCTATATGTTCCTTGAACCTATAGTGAAACCCACCTTTTTACCTTTCCAACTTTTCTCGACTCTCCCCTCCCTAGGCAAAACCCACTCGATACCTAAGTTGGGCCTAGGCTTCTAAGCCTAGGCCCTAGTTACTACTTAGCTCACTCTCGCTTATTTTAACAGCACGGACCCGGGCAGCAGACGCAATAAAAAAGTCCAACATCATCGCTAAACGTAATGCCGACCGCCACCGCCGACCTGTCACTTACCAACCTGACGACCTAGTTCTACTCGACACTCAGAACCTCCGACTGCCCATCACCCCAAAACTTCGCCCCCGATATTGCGGGCCATTTCGCATTAGCCACATGATTACGCCCGTCACCGCCCACCTCCTCCCCGCTGACTGGTACGTCAGCCCCTCGTTCCACGTCAGCCTACTTCGCCCCTACGTCCCGTCTACAAGCCAACTCCCACATAATCGCCCAGCCAACATGACACGACCGCCGACTGAACCAATCATCACCCCCGAGAAGATTCTGAGTAACAGAGTTCGCGGCCCTCGAGGAGCCCGAAGGATCGAGTTCCTGCTCCGCTGGAAAGACCCTACACCCACCGAAGACAACTGGGTTCCCCTGGACAGAATCGAAAACCACCCCGTCCTCACTGAGTATCTGCGCAGCCGAAACTTCATGAATGTACACGCACATTTGTAAAGGAGGACCTCTTTAGGGGGGGGGGGGGGGGTAGTGTAAGGAAAATTCCTTTCCTTTACTTCACGTCCCCGCTCAGCGCGTACACCACTGTAGCACCACAGTCAGCACCGTTAGCACTCGCAACTCTCGCATCGACAATCCTCCTGCCGCCTTCGCACGTCGCACCCCGACCTCACGGCTCGGCGGGTAACCCGCGCTCCGGGCCTCCGCTTCGACACTTTCCCAAACCTCAGTCCCAGGCCCGTCGCGCGACCACAGTCCATTACCGTTACCACTGTAGTTTTGCTATATATTCTTCGCTCACACCTTCGCTCATTGTACTCTTGCTTCGATAGTGCAATTCTCGCTCGCTCACTCAATTGCACTCGTAACATCAATCTACCCTGGTCCTTGCGACTAGAGAATCCAGTTACCCGTCGCCACGATCAATTCGCCTGCGACGGCACACCTCTCACACCAAACTCGAGAACCTCCCAGCATCAATCTGTATCACCAACTCTTCACAATTTCGCCCGCATTTCTCGAGAGATTTTTTTCTCAAGCCCAGAACCAGTTTTCACATCCGTCGTCCTCTCCTTTCGAACAGTTTTTTCTGTGATTCTCTCTCGCATTACAACGGTCCGTGCATCGTTCCAGGGATTCCTCTTTGTTTCATTTTCAAGGGTTACTTTCACGAGTAAGATATGGCGACGGCAGCGTCAAAGGAGCAACAGCAGAAGACCATCAATGTCCTTACTGCCGCGGCTCCGCTACAGGTGCGCTCGCTACGGGACTAAAAACAGTATAGTTAAAATCTCGAAAGCCCAGACATTACTCTTCAAACAAACACTCATTTAGCACCAGGACGGAGGGGAATACATGACATGAGTGCCATAGTTCGGGATTCCGTGGCCTTGAGCTGTCTTCGAGCTAAAATTGATCTGTTAAATTGATCCGTGACGCTGATCTGACAACCTGCACTGTTCACTCCGTGCGGTGGGTGGGTGCGTGTCTGGCAGAACTATGAGTTCGACTTCGGCATCGGAGGAGCGCCGGGCAAGGCAGCGGGGGCCAGCCTCAAGGACCAGCGCAGCGGCTACTCCCTCGCCTCTGTGAGTCGCCGTGATTCTCTTCCAATCGTTCATGGTTCTCGTCCCCGCGTTCATGCCAGCTGTGTCAGAGCCCTGCTCGATCCCTCACCTTCCCTCCCCTTGCACTCGCTTGCCACTACAAATTTTCCCCCTCGGTCCCTCCATCAACCTCCCCCGCCCCGTCCTCTCTCCCCATTCCTCCCCCCGCTTTACGGGCATCTCCGCAGGTATCAAAGGGCGGGGACTTAGCCTCAATGCTCCTCGGCTCTTCCTCCTCCCCCTCCCCAGTCACCGCCGCCCCCAAAGCCCCCGCCTACTCAGGCCCCCCCACAGTAGCCCTCTCCCCCACCTTCACCCCCGCGCCACCCCCCTGGCTGCTCACCCCATCCGCCCCCGCGCCCACACCGTCCGTCTCTGGCGTCTACTCCGTCACCATCCCGCCGCCCGTCTCCATCCAAGCCTCTTTCAAGGAAGCCCCTCCTACCGGCGTTCCCGTTGCCGGCGCTGCCGCCGCTGCTGCTGCTGGTGGTGGTGCAGCGGGAGCAGCTGTAGGCCCAGGGGCGCTGGGGCTGGCAGGAGTGGGAGCAGCGGGGGCGGGGGGGAAGGGGGCGGCTGGGGGAGGCGGGATGGGCGGGCTGGCTGCCACGTGGACAGCCTCTCCCTTGGGATCCACGAGCAGCAAGAAGCCAGACGCTCTCTCTGACCTCTGGAGCACCGTTGCATCTGGCGCTGCTGCTGGCGCTGCTGCTGGCGCTGGCACTGGCGCTGGCACTGGCGCTGGCACTGGCGCTGGCACTGGTGGTGGCACTGGCGCTGGCACTGGTGGTGGCACTGGCGGTGCGGCCTCAGGAGTGTCGTTGGGTAACGGGGTAGCAGACAGAGTCTCATCGTCATCATCAGCAGGAGCAGGAACAACAGCATCAGCCCCAGCAGGAGCTGCAGCGGCAGTGCCGATAGTAGACCCGTTCGGAGACGTGTTTGCCTCAGTACCCATGGCCCCTGCATCCTCTGCCGCCCCAGCTGCAGCAGCAGCAGCCGGAGGGGACCTGCTGGGGGGAGATCTGCTTTCAGTCTTGGGCTCATCCGTGCCTGATGCAGCTTCAGCTTCTGCTGCTCCTGCTGCCGCTGCTAGTCCAATGGACCCTGTGGGGGGCCTGCTGTGATACAGAGCTTGCAGAGCTTGCTGGGTGCTGTTTCTTTTTCCTGCCAGAGCTGGGCCTTTGTTGATGCCAGCTTTGTGTATGGCAAAGTCTAATTTATCAGTCAGTCTGTCTATTCTATGCCTATCAATTCTATGTATGGCCAGGACCTGTATTTACTATGGGGAGTGTCTTCAGCAGCTTTACCAGTTTCTGTGTTATATATATTAGATTTACAAGCAATATAGTGTAGGCCCTCAAAACACATTTGAGAACTCGGCTCTAAATATGGTATGAAGGGTTGCTACAATGTCACTGACGCCCCAGGCAACCTGAAGGTCAGCGTTCTGTCAACACTAGCCGCAGCATTGGGCATGAAATGCTGCTTTGAGTCGGTTTCGAAGCTGAATTCAATGGAGTCAAGGGTTGGACACTCCTAGCAGCCTTGAGGTGAGCTCCCAGGCAACAACAGCCGCAGCATTGGCCGGGAAGGCTCGAGTGAGTGTGGGCAGGAGACCGGCGTAGAACCCCCTGACGCCACTCTCCCTTAGGATCTGAAACAGGAACAGTACCGAACCGAACATGGGGCAAGGTGTGGAATTAGACGTGAGACAAAATTCAAGACCGCCGGAAAGCAGCGAGAGCGAGCGGCAGAATGCTGGGGCAGCAGAGAGGGCATTGGAGAATAGTTAAGATCAAAGGGCAGGATCACTCACAGCTTTGCACTGGCTGAGCATGCGCAGCGACTCGGGCGAAGCTGACGCGTCTGCCGTCTGAATGCGCGTCTTGATGACATCAAATGGGAGCACTGCCGACCAGAACTGATGTGCGGGGACACGTGGGGAAGAGGGGTGGGTAGCGGAGGAGGGAGGAGGGGAAGGAGAGGAGGGGGGGGAAGGGAAGGTTAGGGACGCCCTGAATGCAGGACATGATTGGGCCAAGTGGGGCAACACTGCAATAAGCAGCTGATGCAGCATTAAGGAGATGGCGTGGAACAAAAAATCGAAGGGAAAATGCAAATGCAAATGCAAATACAAAAAAAAAAAAACAAACAAACAAACAAACAAAACAAAAACAAAAACAAAAAAAAAACCCGGAAAAAAAAACAAAACAAACAAACAAACAATCCAAGGATGGTCGGTACGGGCCAAAGCAGCAAACTGAGGGCGGGCATTAGACTCACCACGATGCCTGCTATTCCCCCACTGGCAATGGCAGTAGCAGCCTCAGCTGCCACCCTTCGCCACTCACTCGCCCCGCCTGCTACCTCTGCCTCCCTCCCCCCCAACACCCCATGTTCTGGCCCCATGTCTTGACCCAATCTCCCGTGCACACTTTCACGTGAGAGGTCCGAGGAGGCGGAGGAGGAGGAGGAAGAGGGAGAGGAGTGCGAGGGAGAGGAGGGGGCGAGGGCGGGGAGGAGGCGGTGCTTGATGGCCTCGTAGGTGACAAAGAAGCCAATGTTGCCCAGCGACTCCCTCAGTGCTGTCGCTGCCAGGCCTCTGAACAACCCCTGCGGCTGAAATGTGAAAGACGGGGTGAAGGTTGAGACAGAGAGACAAGAGGGGGGAAAATAAGGAGGAGGGATTCACTACAGCAGCAATTGAAACGGAACAAACAGCCTTCCATACTGCCCGATCACACTCAATGGTCTACCCACTCACCCACTCAATGGTCTACCCACTCACCCACTCAATGGTCTACCCACTCACCCACTCAATGGTCTACCCACTCACCCACTCACTCTCACAACCAGGCTCGATCCCACACGCCTTACCCCATCGGCCTTGACGGTTTGAACCACGCAATCCCACGGGCCCTTGTAGTGACCCACACCCCCCACCACCCGCTGCTTCTGTTGCTGTTGCTGCTGCTGAAAATGCTGCTGCTGCATCAAAACTTGCTGTTGCAGAGGCGATTGCGAATGGATCTGCTGGCGTTGGGCTGCTTTTGCAGCTGTAGCTGCTGCTGCTGTTGCTGCTGATGTTGCTGGGGTGCGTGCTAGGGAGGGGAAGGCAGCGCTTGCTGTACTGAAGGGGGCGGGGTGAGCAGCAGCGGCAAACGAAGGGGTCAGGCGAGTCATGGCAGGGACACACTTAGAGGCACCCGCTGCAGCCGCTGCTGTTGGTGCTGCTCCTGCTGTTGCTGCCGCTGCTGCTGCAGTATATACAGAGGCGGCGGGTGCGAGAGCTGGAGACTGGGCTTGCACTTGCAGGCGACACTGCAACAGACAAACAACAGACGAACAACAGACGAACAGACGAACAACAGGGAGGAGATGCTCTTTCAAATAAGATGAGCACGATCCACTTGTGGCATTCGAGGCCGACAAGGCACTATTGGATGCAGGACAACGCCAAACACACAGGACGGTCATGCATGCACACGCCACGCGCCTACTCGCTTCCAACGCACCTTGACAAGCTCCGTGGGGCAGAGCACGAAGCTGATAAGCCCGCCCGCCAGCCCTGCTGCTGTCGCCACCGTGCCTGCTGTGGGTGCCGACCGCTCCCCGTTCTGAGACAAGGGCGAGGGGCGAGAGAGGAAACAAGGGGGGAGAGAGAGGAGGACAGACAAGGAAGGAGGAGAGGAGGACGGGAAGGGAGTGGGGGAGGAGGGAGGGAAGTGAGGGGAGGGGGAGGAGGAGAGGGGAGGGGAGAGGAGCGGCTGAGAGACATGGGCAACAGGCGACAGCATTGGTGCCTGCGCCTCAGCGTTGGTACCCGGGCCTCAGTATTGGTATGCTGCCCTTAACACTGATACAGGGGGCAGTTGCCTGGGACAAAATTACTTGTCTGGGGGTAGTTACCTGGAGGGCGGTCTTTATTTGAGTGTACGAGCCAAACAGCAGGGAGCTCTCCACTGCGACGCCGATGAAGGATGACGTGGCACCGCGGTATAGGCCAGGGATCTGAGGGAAAAAGGCGGGGAACAGCACACGCGCGAATTTATTGAGGGTTGCGCAATGGTGTGCGAGGAGGTGTGCGCGGTGGGGTGCGCGGAGGGGCTGTGCACCGTGCATGGGGCTTATAACGGAATGAAGGCCCTAAAACGAAGGGGACATGCGGCTCACCCCTTCAGTGCGGAGAATGTGCGACGTGCACTGCCATGCCGAGCGATACCGCGGAGCCCCTAGCGACGCGTGCGACGCGGGCGATGTGCCGTTGCTGACGTTGCTAGCTTGCAACTTGACCTGCGAGGATGAGACGAATTGGGAAGAGGATGAGTGAATGGGCGGGATGAGTTGAGATGGAAGAATGCGGAGGGATGGGGTGAACGGGGAAGAATGAGGTACGAAGGGAGGGACGAATGGATGGAAAATGAGGGTGGGTTCTGATATGCGAAGGTCACATCGACACCGCCAGTTGCACGCCCGCCGTTCAATCACGATCGTCCGATCCCGCCTACCCTTCGCACTTGCGCCTCACGGCAATCCAAGGCCTGAAACTCTCACAGCCGTCCGATCCTGACCTTGACGGTATCGAACGGATGTCCGGTGACGACGAGAGCCACCCCTGCAGCGACCCCAGCCGTGAAATCCTTCACTGCGGCGAAATCGTTTGGCGAAGGTGGCGAGGCGAGCTGGTTACTCGGTTGCGATCCGAAATCGTTCGCACTTGGAATGGTGGCGTCCTTCGCACTCTTGCCGGGCTCCTGCCGCATTTTCCGGTGCGATTTCAGCCGCTAATACCCAAGATCACAGCCGGGTGCGATTGATTCACGGAAATGCCGGCAGAGTTACAGAGCTTACTGCCCGCTGAAAGCAAATGCACGCTGCGCAGGGAATAAGGCTACAAACGGCTGACTGGACGAGCAGAAAAAAAGTAGGAACTAAGCGACCGAGCAGAGACGAAGTGTAGTTACGGCAGGTCAGACGAGCAGGAACGCACGCGCAAAAGACTTATTAGCTCGAGCTTTGCTATTTGCAAAGGGGCAACAATATGTATTGCCGAGGAGACTAGCCGATCCCAGCTAGACGAGGCACGCGTATAAATACTGCGTGTTCTCCTCCACCAATACCAGCTGCGAGCGGCTGTGTTGTAGGTCCGGTCTACTATGCCGTATTCCTCGGACGAGCGGGAAGGATCAAATGCAAGGAGGCTGTGAGCTGCGCGCATGCGCGGAAAGCGGAAGCAAGGCGATTCCGCGCACAAGTCCAGGGTCGTTGGGCTTTCGCGTCCTGCTTCTCCCGAACATTTGGGCGTGTGCATGCACTCGCGCACTCAGAGTGCAAAATGAACCGCTTTGTGCCGCTACAAAACGTATTCAGTACCTTTCTGAACTACTGAACTTTAAGTGTTCCGCCGAAGCAAGGTGTTGCGCTCTCGCTTGAGGGCGAGATCGTCGCGCGCGGGGGGCGAACCGAACGAACACCGTGCCTCGGTCACCCCGATCTCCGCTATAGAGAAAGCCACGCACTCAAACGACACCGCGGTAACGGGTCAGTTGCAATATTCTGCGTATGGAGAAATACACCATGAAGGGTCTAAACACTGGCTCTTTTTCCTGCTTACGCTTTTACCGCGGACGCTTGAGAAGCATCCGCTAGATGTTTGTGACCGAGTGAGCCCAGTCAAGCCGATTCATTCAGCTAGGACCACACAACAGCCCGCGTCAGTACGACTTTTCCAGTGCTGTACGATACAGTGCTCTTGTCCCAAGACTAGTTAGCGGCGAATCGTGATCGTTGATCGCAATGGCTTGCCGTCGTTAGGGCTGTTCGCGTTGTGATTACCTGCCCGTACTTTCCAACAGATCCGCGTTCGTTGCTTTATTTGCCAACCCGAATGCCCGACTTTCTTTAAGTCGTTGCGCCGTCGCGTCGTCCACGAGCTTCATCAACTGCCGAAATCGAACGCGATTATCCGTTGCATTAGAATTCCCCATCGTGAACATATTCCGCAGCCACTGCTGTTAGAGCAACCATCGCAGCCGTCGCATAGCCGTCGCAGCGATCGCATTGCAGCCATGAAAGCGGGCTCCGCCAGCAGTCGCGGGGCGGGGCGATTATGGACGGCAGCAGGGTCGTCGCCGCAAGGGTCCATGCGAGGGATCGGCGACTCGTCGCTCACGTCGCGTTCGCGAAAGAGCAAGAAGAGTCGCTCGCTCGTGAGGCGGCTGCTGAAATGCCGCTTCCAGACCTTCATCCTCTGCGTCGTTCTGGTCCGTCCGATCGCTGCCTTTTCAATTTCTCGCCGTCATATCTCTCTTTTGTTCTCCAGCTTTTTTCCATGCATTGTCGCTTCCCCCCATCCCCTTTGAACCTGTGCACTATCCACATTCTCTTGGCTTCCTACACCCCTCCACCCGCTCCTCCAAACACACACACACCCCTCTCTTTCCTCCCACAACCCCCCCTCTTCTCCCCTTCGCCCTTCCCTTTACCCACACAGCCTCTCCTCACCCCCCCTCGCCACCTTCTCCCTTCCCACGCCCTCCTCCCTCCACCCTTCCCCATCTATGCTCCCATCCCTCCCTCTTTCCATCCGTCGCCCCCTCCCTCCCTCCCTCCCTCCCTCCCTCCCTCCCTCCCTCCCTCCCTCCCTCCCTCCCTCCATCCCTCCCTCCCTCCCTCAATCCCTCCCTCTCTCCCTCCCCCCCTCCCTCTCTCCCCCCCTCCCTCCCTCCCCCCCTCCCTCCCTCCCTCCCTCAATCCCTCCCTCCCTCCCTCCCCCCCTCCCCCCCTCCCTCCCTCCCTCCCTCCCTCCCTCCCTCCCTCCCTCCCTCCCTCCCTCCCTCCCTCCCTCCCTCCCTCCCTCCCTCCCTCCCTCCGTCCCTCCGTCCCTCCGTCCCTCCGTCCCTCCCTCCGCCCCTCCCTCCGCCCCTCCCTCCGCCCCTCCCTCCGCCCCTCCCTCCGCCCCTCCCTCCGCCCCTCCCTCCGCCCCTCCCTCCGCCCCTCCCTCCACCCCTCCCTCCATCCTTCCCCCTCCATGCGCTCTCAACCTTCCTGCGTTCCTCCATCCCTCCCTCTCTTCCTAACCTCCCCCACCATTCCTTCGTGCGCCCCCATCCCTCCTTCCCTCGACCCATACGTCCGCCCACCTCCCTTCTCGCCCTCCCTTCTCGCGTGCAGGTGGTGCTGTGTGGTGCGCTCGTCTTCCTCTTTGTGGTCGACAAGTTCCCCTTCTTACTTGACTCACAAGTCCATTTCTCCGCCCGCCCTCATCCCCCTATTCCTCCAACCATCTCTCCCCCCATCCGTCCCCCTATTCCTTCCGCCCGCTTATGCAGGTGGTGCTGTGCAGTGCGCTCGTCTTTCTCTTCGTGGTCGACAAGTTCCCTTTCTGAGTCGACCCAATGGTCCATTCGTTTATGCGCCCCCGCCCCCTCCATCCCTCCTGCACTCACATGCGAGCAGGTGGTGCTGTGCAGTGCGCTCGTCTTTCTCTTCGTGGTCGACAAGTTCCCATTCTCAATGGGGGCGAAAGAGGCCGCGGCCGCTGCTGCAGACGACCTTGTAAGTCGCTCTGCGCTGCTCTGCTTCTCTGCTCTGCAGCTTTTCTCTGCGCTGCTTGCTCTCTTGATTGTACAGCCCGTGCACTTCTTGTTGCCATGGTTATCCAGTGCCCCTTCTTCATGGGGGCCAAACACGCCGTACGTGCTCCTCCGCTGCTGCTGCTGCTGCTGCTGCTGCTGCTGCTCATGCTGTGGCTGCAAGCGACATTGTAAGCCACTCCACTCCATTCGCATGTACTCTCAACCCCCCTGTTTCCTCCCCCCACACCGTTTCCCTTGCCAGTCCACGTCAGCAGCGGAGACAAAGCCATCCCACGTGGCAATGGATCTGAGCGCGCACGGCAAGCAGCAAGAGACGGTCAGGATGATCACTGGGGAAGGGGACGGCATAGCGGCGGACGGCAAGGGCTCCAAGGGCGGCAAGAGTGGCAAGGGCGGTGGCAAAGGTGGTGGCAAGGATAGTAAAGGCGGCAAGGGGAAAGTAGATCCCAAGCAGGCAGCTCAGGGGAAAGACGCTACAGATGGAAAAAATGCTAAAGGGGGCAAGGGTGGGAAAGAGGGGAAGGAGACAGGGAAGCCTGGTCCTGGCAGTGGCAAGACGAGTCACCCTACCACAGGTGCTAAGACAGCGACCCCGAAGCAGCAGCAGAAGGCGGGGGATGCTGCCAAGGGAAAGGGCCATCCTGCAGGGAAGCAGCAGGGGAAGGGCCCGGGAGGGAAGGCACCTCATGGGAAATCGCCTGGAGGGAAGGCGCCAGGAGGAAAGGGTGCTGGTGGGAAGGCTGGGGGGGTGGCATCTGGGAAGCAAGCAGGGAAGGCGCATGCAGGTGCAGGTGCAGGGAAGAATGTTGCGGCACATGCAGGGGGGAAGGGAGCAGCAGTGGTGCCAAAGGGAAAGGTGCATCCAGCACCCAGGCAAGAGAAGGCGGGAGGAGCAAAGGGTAAAGGTGGGGTTGCTGCAGGGAAGCAGGGTGGGAAGGGGAAAGGAGCAGTGCCGGCTGGTGGGAAATTAAGAGGGGTTGCGGCTGATCCCAAGAAGGGAGGCAAAGTTCAGAAGAGTTAAGATGAGAAGCTAGCCATGTCCATAGCGCATGGGCATGTCCTTGCTTTGTGGTTGTTTTTTTTTATCCTTTTAAGTAATGTTGCTGCCTTAAGCTTTGTCTGTGTGTGATGTGATGAAGGTTTTACCTTGCATGATCTCTTGCTGTGCACTAAGGTCTGCTTGAATTTTGGGTCACTAGTCTATAAGACTTGGTATACGTTATACGCGTTAGTGCATTGTTTCGTCTTTGGAACCTCACGTAACAACACGTTTTGTCCTCCTCACCTTCAGCCAGTTTTAAGTTTGTTGCCTCATTCGCAAGCCGGGAATTCCTGCTTTTCGAGAGCTCGTCACCATGGCCAAGGGCAAGGGAGGGGCGATCCTGGTGAAGCTGCTGTCGGCGGCGGGGACGGGCTTTTTCTACGTCACCAAGAAGAACCCGCGCAACCTGCCGCACAAGCTCGAGTTCCGAAAGTACGACCCGCGTGTTCAGAAGCACGTGCTCTTCACCGAGACTAAGCTTCGATAGTAGATTAATCGCCACCGGGTCTCGAGTCGGCTTGGGACTGTGATTGTAACGAGGCCCGGGGTTCTGTTTGTGCCGTGCGGAGTGTGTAGAATGGCTTGACTGACTTTTAAAAAGCAGCGGTTTGCCGTGTAATGAAGCAATATCAATCCACCCATAATTTGTGAATCTGTTTGCTCAATCCGTCCGTAGGCTTGTACTAGCGTGAATTGCTTCGTTCGAGACTGAATCGTTACGAGACCTACTAACCCACTTAAAACGCGTACTCACCAGACGTGCCTGACGACGACGTAGACGCGGCCCGTTATTCTCCTCTGATCTTGCGCCGGGCGTTGACAGCCGTGAGTCGCCGCGAGTAGCTCGCCGTGAGTCGCGCGGTGAGCGATGGATTTCCAGGAGCTGGAGGCGGCGGAGGGGCTGCGCTTCTCGTGGAACGTATGGCCGTCGTCGCGCCTCGAGGCGACGCGCTGCGTCGTCCCCTTCGGCGCGGTTTTCACGCCGCTCGCGGAAATCGCGGATCTGCAGGTCGTTCCGCATCCGCCGCTGCTCTGCAAGGCGTGCGGCGCCGCGCTCAACCCGTACTGCGCGCTGCACTGCGGCTCCCGCTCGTGGGCATGCGCGCTGTGCCAGCAGGTATAAAGGGGGAAAGGGTGCGGGGGGGGATGGGCGGAAGGTATAGCGCGTGCGCGCTGTGCCAGCAGGTAACATATGGGGGAATGTGGTGGGGGGAGGAGGAAAATGGGCGGAAGGAGGAAGAAATGAGGGGGAAAGTGGTGGGGTTAGGTTGGGTTGGGTTGGGAGTGCTGCTGTGTGCCTCTCTTCTTCTCCTGACTTCCTTCCTCCCGTCCCACCCCTCGTCATCCCCCCTCACTCCATTCCCTCCTCCCATTCTCTCTTTCCTGCGCTCTCGCCTCCTCTCCCCTCTGCGTCCCTCGCCTCTCCCCGCTGCACAGAGGAACGTGTTCCTCATCCGCCCAACTACAGGGATGTGGACGTCAGCGAGGCCAACCTGCCCATGGAGCTCTCATTGATCCCCCCTCCTCCCCGCCCCTCCCCCTTAAACCGCACAGAGGAACCTCTTTCCGCCCAACTACAGGGATGTGAGCGAGACCAACCTGCCCATGGAGCTCTCACTTCCCTTCCCGTCCCTTTCCCTCCCTCCCCCCTCTTCTCCCCACTGCTCTCCTCCTTTTCCTTGCACATCGCACAGAGGAACCTCTTTCCGCCCAACTACAGGGACGTGAGTGAGACCAATCTGCCCATGGAGCTATCCCCCAGCCTCAGCACCATCGAGTTCCTCCTGCCGCACGCCGCCACACCGTGCGTACTCCCTCTCTTCTCCACTCTCCACTCCTCTCCTCTCCTCTCCTCTCCACTCCTCTCCTCTCCTCTCCCCTCATCCATCGCCTCTCCTCTCCTCATCTCCTCTTGTCTTCTTTGCTCTTCTGCTCTTCCTTTTCCACGCCAATGCGACCGCATTGCAGCTGCTGCTGTTGAGTCTGAGCCATGTGCCGCCTCTGTGCCGTCCCCCAATCCCCCTTCCCCCCTTCGGCCAGCCCGTGTTTCTCTTTGTGCTGGACACGTGTGTACCGCCTGACGAGCTGCACCACGCCAAGGCCGCCTGCTGCAAGCTGCTCTTTTGTCACCTCATACGCCATGCCATCTCTCTACTCCCCCTCCTTTCAACAGGCAACCCGCGTTCCTCTTTGTGGTGGACACGTGTGTACCCCCTGATGAGCTACACCACGCCAAAGCCGCCCTGCTGCAGCTGCTGCGACTGCTACCAGTCACCAGAAAGGTCGTTTAAGTTCCCACTACCCATCCTCCCTCTCCTTCCAAACAGGCAGCCTGCGTTCCTGTTTGTGCTGGACACGTGTGTGCCGCCTGACGAGCTACACCACGCCAAGGCAGCCCTGCTGCAGCTGCTGCCACTGCTACCAGTCACCTGCCCCGTGGGGCTCATCACCGTGGGCGCACAGGTCGCCATGCACGAACTCTCCCACTCCCTCCCTCACTCACTCCCTCACTCACTCCCTCACTCATTCCCTCGCTCTCAAGCCGGCCCGCTGTCGTCGCGTGTGGTGCTGCTACCGGGGGACAAGGACCTCCCTCCCAGCAAGATAAAGCAGCTCCTGGGGCTGGGGCTGGGGCTGCCTCAGCCTCACACGCCGTCTGCACCACCCAAGACCACACAGAGCAGCGGCCATGCCCCTGCAATGCACACGACCACCCCTGCCAAGGGGGCCTTCACTGGCAAGCCGGCCTCTCCCAAGGGCCCCCTCTCGCCTAGAACCTCTTCCTCCTCTCATTCTTCATCTGCCCGCGTGTCAGCATCACCACCACCATCGCTGTCCACGTCAGCAGAGTCAGTGTCGTCTTCGCCGCCCCCACCGTCGCTGGTGCTGGGCGGCAGAGGGGCGGCGGATGGGCGGTATCTGGTGCCTCTGGTGGAGGGAGAGGGCGTACTGAGGGGTGTGATAGCGGCACTACAGCCGGACTCACAGCCAGTGGTGCCAGGGGTCAGGTGAGATACAGTGGCTTCAGGGGGACTATTTGCGGTTCAGATGGGTGGAATCTGGTGCCTCTGGTGGAGGGAGAGGGCGTGCTGAGGGGTGTGATAGCGGCGCTACAGCCGGACTCACAGCCAGTTGTGCCAGGGGTGAGGTGAGATACAGTGGGTTCAGGTGGATTTAGTGCGGTTCAGATTGGTGGAGTATGGTGCATCTGGTGGAGGGCGAGGCCGTGCTGAGGGGGGTGATAGCGGCGCTACAGCCGGACTCACAGCCAATGGTGCCAGGGGTGAGGTGAGTTAGCCTCTCTTACAGATCATATGAACTGAAGTAAGGTGCAGATGGGTGATATATGCCACATCTGGACTACGCTGCAGCTGGCTCTACCGAGAGTAAGCTCTGTCTTCCCCCACACTGTCTCTCATGGCTTTCCACTTTGTCTCCTCGCAGGCCGTGCCGAGCCATTGGTGCAGCTTTGGCAGCCGCCGTGGCTGTGATGGAGGCTCGGGGCGAGCAGGGGGCAGCGGATGAGGGAGGGAGAGCGGAGGATGGAACAGGGCGGGCAGCATGGGAGAAGAGGGGAGCAGCAGAGGAGTGGGGAGGGGGGGCAGCGGAGTCAGGAGGGCGGGCGAGGAGGGAAGGCGAGGGGACAGGGAGGGCAGGGGAGGGAGCGAGGAAGGGAGGGGAGAGGGCGGGAGGGGGAGGGGAGAGGGCGTTGCGATCCGGAGGGCGAGTGGTGGTGCTGCTGGGAGGGCCAGGCACAGTGGGGCCAGGCATGGTGGTGGGTACAGACATGGCTGACTGCCTCCGCACACACTCGGATATTCTCCTCGACAACACCGCTTACTATCAGTCAGTTCCACTCTGCTCTGGGGCCGACGCATTGGGGCTGGGCACGGTGGGTTTGGGCTCGGAGTATGGTGGGGCCGGGTATGGTGGTGGGTAGAATACAGACATGGCAGACTGCCTTCGAACGCACTCGAATATCCTCCTCGACAACACCGCTTACTACCAGTCAGTTCCACGTTGCCGACCCTCCCGCATGCTTTTGTTTCGTGCTGGATGGACGTGTTCGGTGTCGCTCCCCTGCTTCATGTGTCTTTCCCCTCCTCCCTCCCTCCTCCCAACAGCCGTGCCACACGCTTCTTCTCTCAATTCGTCGAGCGATCAGCAGAGGTATCAGCAGCCATAGACGTGTTTTCATGTGTGGTGTTGTAACTGTTGCTGCACGTGCCGTTTCCTCCTTTTTTCCCTCTTCCCAACAGCCGCGCAACGCGGTTCTACACCCAGTTGGGTGAGCGAGCAGCAGAGGTATCAGCGGCCATAGACGTGTTTGCATGTGCGGCGGACCAAGTGGGGGTGGCGGAGATGAGGGGCGCCATCGAGGCGACAAGTGGCACGCTCGTATTGGCCGACTCGTTTGAGTCAGACATCTTTGCCAAGTCCCTGTGCAAGCTGTTTCAACGGTCGCATGAGGTCAGTATGGATCGTGGCCCATGCCGTGCCATGCCAAGCCATGCCATGCTATGCCACGCCATTGCATACCATATCATGCCATACCATCCTATACCCCTTCCATCCCCGTTACAGGGCCCTCTGCTAGCCGCGACAGACGGGGTAGTGGAGGTGAAGCTGCCCAAGGAGATCAAGGTGATGGGGGCGGTGGGGGCGTGTGGCAACCTGTGGAGCAAGGCGGAGAGCGTGAGCGAGCACGAGGTGGGGCAGGGCGGCACGGCTGCCTGGCGCCTCTGTTCCCTCTCCCCCCGCTCCTCCTCCCTCGCCCTCTTCTTTGAGATTGCACCGCCGCACAGAGCGCACCAGATCCCGCCGGGCTCCTTTGCACTGTTCCAGGTTTGTGTTTGCCCGTGTTCCACGTGTGTTGCATGGGGAAGGTGTTCTCTTCGCTGCCTGGCGTCTCTGCTCCCTCTCCCCCCACTCCTCCTCCCTCGCCCTCTTTTTCGAGATTGCACCGGCCAGCGCACACCAGATCCCGCCAGGGTCGTTCGCGTTGTTCCAGGTGTGTTGGCCTGGGAGGGCTGGCATGGCTTTCTTTCCCTCTGCTCCCTCCCCCCCCGCTCCTCCTCCCTCGCCCTCTTCGTTGAGATAGCATCGCCGAGAGCGCATCAGATCCCGCCGGGCTCGTTCGCGTTATTCCAGGTCTGTTGGCCAGGGAGGGTTGTTTCTTGGGGGGGAGGTGGCTTGTCTCCCTCGCCCACTGCTTGCAATCCGTTGTGTGCTGTCATGCGTGTGCTGTCCCAGGCACGTGAGGTGTTCGGCTGTCTTCCTTAGTTTTGAGGCGCCTCAAAGCTAGGCTTGTCTCCCTCTCCCACTCATTGCAATCCGCTGTGTGCTGTCATGCGGTGCTGTCATGCGGTGCTGTCATGCGGTGCTGTCATGCGGTGCTGTCATGCGGTGCTGTCATGCGGTGCTGTCATGCGGTGCTGTCATGCGTGTGCTGTCATGCGTGTGCTGTCTCAGGCACGTGAGGTGTTCGGCAGCCTTCCCACCATCCGCCCTCCACTTTCCTATTGCGCTCCCAACCTCCCCCCTTCCCCTCTCAGTTCCTCACCACGTACCGCCACGGGGATGGCAGCAGGAGGGTGCGCGTGGCCACAGCAGCCAGGCGCTGGGTGCACATGGGGGGCGAAGGGGGGGCTGCTGGCGCGGATTCGCAGGCTGTTGGGGTGGGGGTGGCGGAAGGGGATGGGGAGTTGGTGGTGGGGGGAGTGCCGGGGGGAAGGGCAGCTGCAGCACTGGCGGAAGTGGTGATGGGGTTTGATCAGGAGGCTGCTGCTGCTCTCGTGGCCAAGCTAGCTGCTTTCAAGGTGTATGCTCATCCTCTTTGGATCAGAGGACATGAGTGACTTGCTGCATTGGCTGGACCGCATGCTCATCCGCTTTGGATCTCTTCCAACCCGTGATGCATCCATACCTATGTTGTAAATATCTTGCCATGCTGCCGGTTCTCCCCCCCTTCCCCGCCCCTTCCCCTCCCCCCCCACCAGGCAGAGTCAGAGGACATGAGTGATGTGCTACGATGGCTGGACCGCATGCTCATCCGCTTTGGATCTCTTCCAACCCGTGATGCATCCATACCTATGTTGTAAATATCTTGCCATGCTGCCGGTTCTCCCCCCCTTCCCCGCCCCTTCCCCTCCCCCCCCACCAGGCAGAGTCAGAGGACATGAGTGATGTGCTACGATGGCTGGACCGCATGCTCATCCGCTTTGAATCTCTCTGGAGTCATGATGCATCCCTGTGCTGCACATCCCATGCCATGCTGCTGTGCTCCGGTCCCCCCACCACCCTCCACCTCCCACCAGGCGGAGTGAGAGGACATGAGTGACGTGCTGCGATGACTGGATCACATGCTCATCCGCGTTGGATCTCCGCCCTCTCATGAGGCATCCCTGTGCTGTTGATTTCATCCCGTGCTGCTCTCTCTCCTTTCCTTCCCCGCTTTCCCCCCACCAGGCAGAGTCAGAGGACATGAGTGATGTGCTGCGCTGGTTGGACCGCATGCTCATCCGCTTTGGAGCCAAGTTCGGGCAGTACAGCCGGGGCGACCCCTCCTCCTTCCACCTCGCCTCCGCCTTCTCCCTCTTCCCCCAGTTCATGTTCCACCTCCGCCGCTCCAGCTTCCTCCAGGTGTGCCTTCCCCCAGCTGTGCCTTCCCCCAGGTGTGCCTTCCCCCAGGTGTGTCTCCCTCCAGGTGTGCCTTCCCCCAGGTGTGCCTTCCTCCAGGTGTGCCTTCCTCCAGGTGTGCCTTCCTCCAGGTGTGCCTTCCTCCAGGTGTGCCTTCCTCCAGGTGTGCCTTCCCCTAGGTGTGCCTTTCTCCAGGTATACTTTCATCCAGTGTTACCACGTGTAAAGATGAGTGCAGGCAGTGTGAGGTTGCCGGGTGCTGGGATGTAGCGTGAAGTGATGTGGTTGTAGCTGTGGCAACCTGGCCGGCACGTTGCTCTTGTCTGACTCTAGGCTCCCCATTATCTGCATGCCATGGCTGCTGTGGTGTTGTGTGTCTATGTGTGAATGTGTGCATGTGTGCATGTGTGCATGTGTGCATGTGTGCATGCGTGCATGTGTGCATGTGTGCATGTGTGCATGTGTGCATGCGTGCATGTGTGCATGCGTGCATGCGTGCATGCGTGCATGCGTGCATGTGTGCATGTGTGCATGTGTGCATGTGTGCATGTGTGCATGTGTGCATGTGTGCATGTGTGCATGTGTGCATGTGTGCATGGCAGCAGGTGTTCAACCACAGCCCCGATGAGACGGCATTCTTCCGCCTCATGCTCACCAGAGAAGCCGTTGCCAACTCCCTCCTCATGGTTCAGGTACCCTACCGCTCATACCCTTCCTTTCCGCCCGTTCAATTCTCGCGAGCCAGGGCCACTGTTTCTCCTACCATTCAACTCCTCCTTGACCTGTCCTTGCCTTCGCTTCCCGTCCTTCTCCTGCAGCCCGCTCTGATCGCCTACACCTTTGAGTCACCACCACATGCTGTGCTGCTGGACGTGTCATCACTGCAGCCCGACTGTGTGCTGCTGTACGACGGCTTCTTCCACATTGTCGTGCTCCACGGCTCCACCATCGTGCACTGGAAGCACCAGGGTTTCCACCTCGACCCTGCACACGCAGCCTTCAGGTATTCTTCCACCTCTTGACTGAATTTCGCTGTGCTGCTGCGTGATGGATTCTTCCACATTGTTGTGCTGCACGGCTCCACCGTCGTGCACTGGATGCACCAGGGCTTCCACCTCGACCCTGCACACGCAGCCTTCAGGTGCGCTTCCACCCTTCCACCTCGGACTGGACTCCAGCTGTATGGTCATGCTGCTGTTCTCAGTCTGGATGCAGTAACTGATTCATCCATTTCATTGCACAAGGGAGGCCAGTGTCATGGCAGCTCTGGTCTGGTGTGCTTGTGTCCATCCCGCAACCTTGCAGGAAACTTCTGGAGTTGCCGATGGAAGATGCGTTAGCTTTGGCCAGCGAGAGAATGCCTGAGCCCAGAATCATGGAGTGTGAGCAAGGGAGTAGTCAGTCAAGATTTCTGACATCTCGGCTCAACCCATCGGCCACGCATGCAAGCTCATCCATCCCGTCATCACCATCGTTTGTAGAGGAGGCCAAGAATTCGCAGCAGTACATTTTCACAGATGATGTTAGCCTAGAGACCTTTTCACAACACTTGCAGCGCCTTGCTGTTCAATAAAGCATGTATAGCAGGTGATGAAAAAGCTCTTTCTCTGATCTGTAGCACAAAGCTCAGTCAGATACCGACGTGTAGAAAATAAACAGGCTATGCTAGCAGTCTTCTGTGAAGTGAAGTGAGCATCCACGACCATCATCAGGACATGCAAAGAAACTTCAAGAACTTGGGCTTCTTTTTCGCTGAAGCCAGCTCTGACACCTTCTTCTCGAGTTCATTAATCTTCTCATTGGCGACCACCAATGCTTTAGGATCTGATTCAGGCACCTGCACATGGGAAAATAGAGAAGTTGAGTGAAAAATGTCAGCGAAGCAAAGACTCCAAGAAATGAGTTCGACACTTACCTTCAGTGCAGAATCTGGAAGAGACAGGTCCTTCACCATGCCTCTTAGCTTGGTCATCTCCATATCCTGCCACGTGGCCGTCTCCCTCACTCGCGCGAGCTCCATGTCCTTCTCCTCCAGCTGAGCCCTCAGCTCCGAGTTCTCCTTCCTCGTAGCCTCCAAAGCGGTTTCCAGCTGAAGTTGCCTCGGTGCGCTCAGCTCTGATTTAAGATTTGAGTCAGGAATGTTGTCAATGACGCCAGAGTCGAGTCCAGCAGTTCCGAGGGAGAACTGATCGGTTTCAGGGGTTGAAACGGCGGTGACTTCTTTCTCGACGGAGGAGCCATCGGTACTGCACTTGCCGATATTTCCAAGAGCATGGCGGCTTTCCGAAGATTCATTGGAGGAATCATGCTCGTCGAGCTGTTCATTCTCCTGACCCTTTGCTTGCGATGAATCTGCATCAGAAGCGGTTTGATCCTCGGACGGCCTCACTACCGAAGCCGAGGTGTCTTGTTGACTGCTAACGGATATGGATTCCTCTATATCTTTCTTCTCTCGCTGAAGCTTCTCAACCTTCATCTGATACTTCTCCAACTCATTCTGACACAGCGCAAGCCGCTCTGCTTGCTTCCCTAACCGCTTCTGATAGCTGTCGTCGATACCGGCGAGGTCCTTCTGAAGAGCCAAGCACGTGCTCTCTGATTTCGCAAGAGCAGCTCGAACTTTCTCTAGCTCTGCCTTGAGCGACTTATTCTCCTTAGCTAAATCCATCTGTGCACCTACACCATGCGATGGCACCACTAAGACAAAAATATCGGACTTTACGTGATCTTAGTTGACTGATAAAACGTCTGATAAGTCACTCGCTTGCTGCGATGATGCCCCTGAAATCTGTTGGCCCTGAAACACACAGCGTTTGGTTGTGACAACCTCAAGGCCATGGCTTCACCTGCCATGCCATACAGTATTGAAGCCTATGTGATGGGATGGACGGTGCACATCCTGACACTCTCGGGTTCATCGAGGTGATTCGTTGTCGAATACACTTCACGAATCACGAGCCTTGGGGGGAATGAGCCCAATGACAGCTGCGGGTGTGTGATCTCGGTTCCCGCCAAATATTCAACTTGCCATGTTCGTTTCCTCGAGTCTGGGCTGAATCGCAAACTCGCGACGCGACGCGATATGATCGTGTGGCTGAATTATAAAATCCGTGAACCAAGTTCCAGCTCAGGTCCATACCGGTATTAGTATCAGAATAATTATTTGATCCAGTTCACTCTCTATCAAATATTCAACTAGAAGTTTCACATTTATCAAAGGTCAACCAATAATTGAACTGATACTAATTGAACATCAACTAGTGATCTACTATAATTCCCATGTACTGAACTGAATCCATGGGGGGTTCCTCTTGGCCGCTAGGAGCAGAGCTCCTAACGTTACACCCAAGCACCGCGGTGAGGTGGGAACCATTGCTTGGGACCCTGTGGGGGGGGAAGACAGAACACAGACAGAAGGATACTGCCCAGGGGCAGGTGAAAATTATCCTTGAATCCATTGCCGCCCATCCTTACTGGCCCTCCCTGCTGCTCTGGTCTTCTGCCCAGTCTTGGTTCAGGACCAGCTGTGCAATTTTGGTCACTGCAATTTTTGCAGCGAGGAACAAGCAAAAGAGTTTTGAGATGAGTCGTCTCTCAAAACCCTGTTTTTGGTCACTGCAGCGACTCTGCAGTGAGGAGAAGAGAGAAAGAGAGAGTTTCACGTTGAAACTCACGAGTGAGTTTTGAGGTGTGTCTCAAAACTCAGAGAAGAGGAGAGAGGAGGAACGGAACACTGCAGTGCACTGCAGGACACAACAGAACTGCCACCGGCAGCTCACAACTGGATTTGAGGCGCCTCAAACCAGCAAACGAGGTCCTCACACCCCACTCTAACTCTCACCCTAACTCTTAACTCTCACTCGCTCCTCCCCTCACCCTAACGCTGCAGCCTGCTGCAGTTCTCAACACTCTGCTCGTTTCTCACTCTGCTCCCTCCTCACTCTGCTGTCCCTCCTTCACTCTGCTCCTGCCTTCAATCAGCTTCGCTGGCCCCCCTCTCAACAATCTGCCCCCCCTGTATGCGCCATCTCCCCTTCCGTCCCATCATTTCACTTCACAGCACCAACGGCAGCGACTGAGGTAGGAGCGACTGAGGTAGGAGCGACTGAGCCAGCAGTGACAGCAGCGGTGGTAGCAGCTGCGGTCCCATCACCGCTGGTGCCACTGCGGGCCTCTCTTCTTCTCCCGCTGCTGCTGCCACCGCTGCTGTCACTGCTGGCTTTCTCTTCTGCTGCTGCTTCTCCTTTTGTTGCTGCACATCTCCTTTGCTCCTCCACTCCTCGTCACCTGTCCTCCTATCACTCCACAGCACCAGAAGCAGCAGACTGGAGGGAGGTAGGAGCGAGCGAGGTAGCACCTCTTGCTGCTGCTGTCTTCTGGTGTTGCTGATAGTCCCTTTGCTGATGGTCCCAGCTGCTGCCACTGCTGCTGAATGCCGCTGTTGCTGCCACTGCCACTACTGCTCCGCAGCAGCACCACTCCACCTCCAACGCAGCAGCACCACTCCACCTCCAACGCAGGCCTCCAACGCAGCAGCACCACTCCACCCCAACGCAGCAGCACCACTCCACATCCAATGCAGCAGCACCACTCCACCTCCAACGCAGCAGCACCACTCCACCTCCAACGCAGCAGCACCACTCCACCTCCAACGCAGCAGCACCACTCCACCTCCAACGCAGCAGCACCACTCCACCTCCAACGCAGCAGCACCACTCCACCTCCAACGCAGCAGCACCACTCCACCTCCAACGCAGCAGCACCACTCCACCTCCAACGCAGCAGCACCACTCCACCTCCAACGCAGCAGCACCACTCCACCTCCAACGCAGCAGCACCACTCCACCTCCAACGCAGCAGCACCACTCCACCTCCAACGCAGCAGCACCACTCCACCTCCAACGCAGCAGCACCACTCCACCTCCAACGCAGCAGCACCACTCCACCTCCAACGCAGCAGCACCACTCCACCTCCAACGCAGCAGCACCACTCTTCTCCTAATGTTGCTGCTGCGCATCCCCTTTGCTCCTCCACTCCTCTTCACCTGTGCTCCTATGAGTGGGGAGAGAGGTAGGAGCTGCTGCTACCTCCTTCTGCTCCCCCGTTCACTCTGCTCTCCCCTTCACTCTGCAGCGCTCAGCGAGGTAGCAGCTGCCGTCTCCATGAGTAGGGAAAGAGGTAGGAGCGCTGATAGGCCTTTTCCGCCTCCGATCCATCTCCTTTGCGCCTCTGCTCATCTGCTTTGCGCCTCTACTCCGTCTGCTTCTCCTTTGCTCCTTTGTCTCCTCTGCTGCTCCTCCTCCTCTGCTGCTCCTTCTCCTCGCTGCTCTGCCTTGACCGACCTTTTGTGATGGGAGGGGAATGGCACAAGGCCAATGAGAGAATGGCACCGATTGCACCCCATGCCTAGAACCAACTCAAAGCTGTTGCGAAATGATTCAGGCAACAAACAAAAAAAACAGCTAAAGTAAGGAAGAGGATCACCAGTGGCAGTGAAGATTTATCGACGATCGTGCTCCTTCGCTCCTTCACTCCTTCGCTCCACCTCCGCTGCTGCTCCACCTCTCCTCAGCTGAGCCGTCGCTCCTCTGCTCCTCATCTCCTCCTCAGCTGAGCCAACTCGTCCATCTCCTGCGGGATGGGAGGAGAAGCCTCAGGGCGCATGAGACCATTGAACCAACTGAACCCAGTGCCAAGGCTCAGGGAAACGCAAAGAGAACAAAGCAACCACCATGCATCTGAACAAACAGGAAGACTGAAAGCAGACAACTTAATCACCATCGGCAGCAGAGAGTCCCTCCACCACTGTGCTGTGCTCCATGACTCCTTTGCTCCACTCCTCTCCTCCTTCACTCCTTGCTCCACTCCCCTCCTCCTTCACTCCTTCGCCTCCTCTGCAGTGGCAGAGGATTCCCCTTCACTCCTTCACTCCTTCGCTCCTTGCTCCTTCGCTCCACAGCAACTACCATCTCCTCTGCGACATCTCCTCTGGGCCATCTCCTCTGCGCCATCTCATTTCCTGCGGAATGGAAGGAGAAAAGCCATGAGCTCATTGCACTGGTTCGCTTCTCTGCTGCTCATTGCACCGATTACACCCCGTGCCAACAAGTGATTCAGAATGAAGGCAAAGCGACTGCGGCAATGACCGTCAATTGAGAGCAAAGGAGATACTCACTGGCAGGGGCAGGAGATTCTCTTTCGCTCCACAGCTACTCCCATCCCCTCTGCGCCATCTCCTCTTCTCCTCACTGGCAGTGGCAGGGGATTCTCTTTCGCTCCTTTGCCTCCTCTGCTGCTCCTCGCCTCCGCTTCTCCTCTGCTGCTCCTCGCCCTTCCGATGCATCTCCTGCGGAAAGGGAAGGAAGAAGAGCCTATGAGCACTCAGTGATTGCACCCAGTGATTGCACCCAGCGATTGCACCCAGGGATAGCCAAGAAGCGATTCACAATCAATGCGAAAGCGAACAAGACATTGAGAGCAGGAAATGGATACTCACTGGCAGAAGCAATAGCAGAGAACCCTCCTTAGCCTCCTCCCTCCGCTGCTTCTCTGCTCCTCCTCTCCTCCTCCTCTCCTCCTCCGCTCCTCCCCTGCCCCGGCGCTTCTCTGCTCCTGCGCTCCTCCTGCTCTGCTAAACCAGACAAACAAAGCAACATTAGTATGCGTCGAATACGGAAAGCAGAAAATGGAACAAGACTCACCGAGGGGGGCGCGAGCCGTCGTGCCTTGATCCCTGGCTGAAACACGCACACAAACAACATTAGTACGAGTGGGAAAACAGCAAGCAGAAATGGAACAAAACTCACCGAGGGGGGCGCGAGCCGTCGTGCCTTGATCCCTGGCTGAAACACGCACACAAACAACATTAATACGAGTGGGAAAACAGCAAGCAGAAATGGAACAAAACTCACCGAGGGGGGCGCGAGCCGTCGTGCCTTGATCCCTGGTTGAAACACGCACACAAACAACATTAGTACGAGTGGGAAAACAGCAAGCAGAAATGGAACAAAACTCACCGAGGGGGGCGCGAGCCGTCGTGCCTTGATCCCTGGCTGAAACACGCACACAAACAACATTAGTACGAGTGGGAAAACAGCAAGCAGAAATGGAACAAAACTCACTGAGGGAGGCGCGAGCCTTCATTGTCTTGCTGGCGGCTAAAACTGAAAAACTCACAAAACATCCAACATTAGGCATTAGACAAACAAAAGAATGAAAGGCAGACTGCAGCTTACAGCGGGTCCCGTGTTGCTGCTGCGTTCCGCTATTGCCCCGCCCTTAGTGTTGCCTCCGCGCTGTTGCTGTACCTAGAAGAGAGGGAGACACACAGTTGATCCTTTGCCCCCCAGGGAGCAAAGCATGCGCCTCACTTGAAGCTGCTCCTTCCTCCAGTCTTGCTTCAGGACCAGCTGTGCAATTTTGCTCACTGCAAGTTTTGCAGTGAGGAACAAGCAAAAGAGTTTTGAGATGAGTCGTCTCTCAAAACCCTGTTTTTGCTCACTGCAGCGACTCTGCAGTGAGGAGAAAGAGAGAGAGAGAGTGTGTGTGAGTTTCAGACGTCGCTTGAAACTCTCAAGTGAAGAGAGTGAGTTTTGAGATGCGTCTCAAAACTCAGAGAAGAGAAGAGAGGAGGAACGGAACACTGCAGTGCACTGCAGGACAGAACAGAACTGCCACCGGCAGCTCACAACTGGATTTGAGGCGCCTCAAACCAGCAAACGAGGTCCTCACACCCCACTCTCACTCTCACTCTAACTCTCACTCGCTCCTCCCCTCACCCTCACTCTGCAGCCTGCTGCAGTTCTCAACACTCCACTCGCCTCTCACTCTCGCTCTCCTCACATCCTATCTATGCCTCTCCTAGCAGGTCCCAGCCGTCTCCCTCCACTGCTACTGCTGCTTCCCGCTGCTGCTGCTGCTGCTACTGCCGCCACCGCTGCCGCCACCGCTGCTGCTGCTGCCACCACTGGTGTCACTGCGTTCCTCTCTTCTGCTCCCACTGCTGCTACAACCGCTGGTGTCATTGTTGGATTTCTCTGGTGCTGCAACAGGAAGTGTCATTGCGGGCCTCTCTTCTCCTGCAGCCGTCTCCCTCCACTTCTGCTACTGCTACTGCTGCTCCCCGCTGCTGCTGCTGCTACTGCTGCTCCCCGCTGCTGCTGCTGCTACTGCTGCTCCCCGCTGCTGCTGCTGCTGCTGCTGCTCCCCGCTGCTACTGCTGCTGCCACCGCTGCTGCTGCTGCCACTGCTGGTGTCATTGCTGGCCTCTCTTCTGCTGCAACCGCTGCTGCCACCGCTGGTGTCATCGTTGGTTCTCTCTTCTGGTTTCATTGCGAGCCTCTCTTCTGCTCCCACTGCTGCTGCCACCGCTGATGCCAGTCCAGTTGTCTCCCTTCCCTGCTGCATCTGATGCCAGTCCAGCTCTCTTCTGCTGCAACTGCTGCTGCCACCACTGCTGTCACTGCGGGCCTCACTTCTGCTCCCACTGCTGCTTCCACCGCTGGTGTCACTGCTGGTTTCCCCTTCTGCTGCCACTGGTAGTGTCATTGCGGGCCTCTCCTTTCCTGCAACTGCTGCTGCCACCGCTGGTGTCATCGTTGGTTCTCTCTTCTGGTGTCAATGCTGGCCTCTCTTCTGCTCCCACTGCTGCTCCCACCGCCGCTGATGCCAGTCCAGCTGTCTCCTCCCTTCCCTGCTGCATCTGATGCCAGTCCAGCTCTCTTCTGCTGCAACTGCTGCTGCCACCGCTGCTGTCACTGCGGGCCTCACTTCTGCTCCCACTGCTGCTGCCACCGCTGGTGTCAATGCTGGTTTTCCCTTCTGCTGCAACCAGAAGTGTCATCGCGGGCCTCTCTTCTCCTGCAACCGCTGCTGCCACCGCTGGTATCATCGTTGGTTCTCTCTTCTGCTGTCATTGCGGGCCTCTCTTCTGCTCCCACTGCTGCTGCCACCGCTGCTGTCACTGCGGGCCTCTCTTCTGCTCCATCTGATGCCAGTCCAGCTGTCTCCTCCCTTCCCTGCTCCATCTGACTCCAGCGTTGGTGAGAAGAGCAGCTCCAGCTCATGCCGTTGACTCGCCTGGCGAGAAGAGCAGCTCATGTCTCCTCTCCTCCCTTCCCTTGCTGGCAACGACTCCGGCGTTGACTCTGGCGCCTTCTGCTCATGCCGTTGACTCGCCTTGCTGTGAGTTGACTCCAAGGTCGACTCTGGCGCCGACTCTGGCGCCTTCTCTCCTCCTTCTCTCCACTCGGCCACCTCCGCCAGCATCAAGTAACATCTCTTGGGGAGATGGGACGGTTCAGCAGGTCAGGCCATTTCTTCTCGTGTTGCCATGTCGTGTCATTCAGCTGGACTTCCCTTCGCGTGCTGCTGTTTGCTCCACGGCTGCTGCTGCTGGGAGGAGGATGTCAGTGCTGGTGCTGCCACTGCAACTCTCTTCCTGTCACTGCAGCTCTCCTCTGGTCGCTGCAGCTCTCCTCTGGTCGCTGCAGCTCTCCTCTGGTCGCTGCAGCTCTCCTCTGGTCGCTGCAGCTCTCCTCTGGTCGCTGCAGCTCTCCTCTGGTCGCTGCAGCTCTCCTCTGGTCGCTGCAGCTCTCCTCTGGTCGCTGCAGCTCTCCTCTGGTCGCTGCAGCTCTCCTCTGGTCGCTGCAGCTCTCCTCTGGTCGCTGCAGCTCTCCTCTGGTCGCTGCAGCTCTCCTCTTGTCGCTGCAGCTCTCCTCTGGTCGCTGCAGCTCTCCTCTGGTCGCTGCAGCTCTCCTCTGGTCGCTGCAGCTCTCCTCTGGTCGCTGCAGCTCTCCTCTGGTCGCTGCAGCTCTCCTCTGGTCGCTGCAGCTCTCCTCTGGTCGCTGCAGCTCTCCTCTGGTCGCTGCAGCTCTCCTCTGGTCGCTGCAGCTCTCCTCTGGTCGCTGCAGCTCTCCTCTGGTCGCTGCTGCTCCGTGTTCCACCCACACATTAATGCTCCCTGCACAGCAACCAAAGAGTGGCGACCAAGGTTAAACAGAGAAGAGACTACGAGAGTAAACAGACAATGATTGCAAGGAGGAACCGACGGGAGTGTTTAGTCGCAGAGTAAACCGAAAAAAAAACGAATGCACAAAGGAAGAGGCTACTTACTTGCTGCTCCTGTCGCTACTGCTCCTGTCACTGCTGCTCCTGTCACTGCTGCCGCTGCAGATGCTTCTCCTGTCACTGCTTCTCCGTTTCCCCAGCAACGCCTTCCCGTCCGTCCCTGCACAAGGAATTGCGAGTTACAAACCCACAGTGAAGGTTAGTAGCTGGGTAGAGGTTACAAGTTGACAGAGAGAACAGACGACAAACAGAAAACGAATGATTTGCGGAATGGAGGAGGAGGAGGAGTAGGAGGAGGAGGAGGAGGAGGAGGAGGAGGAGGAGGAGGAGGAGGAGGAGGAGGAGGAGGAGGAGGAGGAGGAGGAGGAGGAGGAGGAGGAGGAGGAGGAGGAGGAGGAGGAGGAGGAGGAGGAGGAGGAGGAGGAGGAGGAGGAGGAGGAGGAGGGAGAGAGGAGGAGGAGGGAGGAGGAGGGGAGGAGGAGGAGGAGGGAGGAGGACAAGGAGCATGGAAATCGAAAAAAAGCAGAGGGTCAGGGCGAGGGAACTTAGCGGATTGCTGATTGCCGTTGGAGCTGCAGTCAGCATCCGTGCTCCATGGTCCAACGCCAGTCAGCAGCATCCGCGCCTCTCCCCTGATGCATCCGCGCCTCATCCCCTGATGCATCCGCGCCTCTCCCCTTGAAGCATCCGCGCATGTCGCTGCCGCTCCTGTCGCTGCAGTTCCTGTCGCTGCTTCTCCGTTTCCTCAGCAACACCTCACCGTCCGTCCCTGCACAGGTTGCAATCCCACAGTGAAGGTTAGTAGCTGGGTAGAGAGAAAAAACAGTTGACAGAGAGAAAAAAAAAGCGACACACTGCAAGGAAAACAACGATGACCATGAAGGCGAATTGATATGCGAGGAGGAGGAGGAGGAGGAGGAGGAGGAGGAGGAGGAGGAGGAGGAGGAGGAGGAGGAGGAGGAGGAGGAGGAGGAGGAGGAGGAAGAGGAGGAGAGGAGGAGGAGAGGAGGATGGAGGAGGAGGAGGAGGAGGAGGAGGAGGAGGAGGAGGAGGCGGAGGGAGGGAGGGCCGTTACTGGCGAGGCTACACCCACAAGCCACAGACGCAAGGGAGGTAATTTAACTCTTACACTTGGTCTTCGTCGTTGCAGTGGGTGGCAAAGGCTGGATGCACTTACGCTGGGCCATTTACCCCGAAGTACCCAAGGGAAGGGGGTTACCGGATGCGCTTACACTGGGGCCGTTGCCCGAAGTACCAAAGGTGGGGCCGTTGCCCCGAAGTACCAAAGGGGTAAGCGCCTGTGACCCGTGGGGTTCACCTCAACCAGCAATGGCGGAGGAGGAGGAGGAGGAGGGAGGAGGAGGAGGAGAGGGAGGAGGAGGAGGAGGAGGAGGAGGAGGAGGAGGAGGAGGAGAGGAGGAGGAGGAGGAGGAGGAGGAGGAGGAGGAGGAGGAGGAAGGGGCATGGAAATCGAAAAAAAACAGAGGGTCAGGGTGAGGAACTTAGCCGGATGTTGATTGCCGTTGGAGCTGCACTCAGCATCCATGCTCCAACTCCAATCAGCAGCATCCGCGCCTCTCCCCTGATGCATCCGCCGCTTCTTCTCCCCTGATGCATCCCTTATCCGCAATGCTTGCATAGAGCCTCTGCCCTGCCTGCACCGACCGAGAGAGAAGTAGGAATGACATGAGATGGACCAGCGAGATGAGTTGGACAGAAAGAGATTGCGCTAAAACTAACGTAGAGACCAGCGAGTCGAGAAGACCAGCGAGATGAGATGGATAAAAAACGATTGCAGAATCGAGACAGAAATCGGAAAACAAGCGTCCAGAACAGAATTGAGACAGAAAACGGTAACTCACCACGAACGGAATATGTTTACAACAGCCATTGAACGAGAGGCGTCAAAGTTCTCCTTCGCCCCCAAGCTCCCAGCGATCGAAAATTATAGGAGATGCTCCCCGTGTCGCTCCACAGGAAGCGCTTCTGCTGCTGCTCCTGCACGCGTCACAAGGAGAACGTAAGAAGCGTCACAAGAGAGAATAGGAATGCGATGTGAAACAATTAGAAAGGGTCACAAGGAGCGCGACCGCGGCTCCTTGAAAGAGTGCGATACGCCATGATACGAAAACGCGAAACGCCATGAAACGAAACGAGTAGACCAGCCACAATCCGTCACGAGAGAAACTGCAGAAACGGAAAACGCTAACTCGTTGAAACGGAAAAAGCTATCTCACGCATTCATTGACGGCGATCGTCGGCGTTCTCCTCCGCCATCCTTCGTCGCGATGGCTTCGCGAGCTGCTCTTCGTCGCGAGCTCTTCCGACGTCAATCATCCCCGCGAGCTCTTCCGCCGTCGATCATCGTCGCGAGAGCTCTTCGGCCGTCGATCACTGTCCCGAGCTCTTCCGCCGTCGTCAGAGTCTGACGTCCACGCGTCTCCGTTAGCGCGCAAGCGCCGTCGTCGGTAGTGGCCTTGGCTTTGCGAACATCCTCAGCATAACGTCGCGAAGAACAACATCAGGAGTAACGTCGCGAAGAATACGCTCAGCAGTAACGTCGGGAGAATATTCTCAGCAGTAACGCCGCGAAGAAGAATACGCTCACAGTATTGTCGGCGAGACAAGTATTCAACAGCTATCGAGGCCGATCATATGAAACGCTCCTCAGCGATTTATGAACGTCCTCACAGTCACGTCGCGAAGAATACATCAGCAGTAACGTCGGGAAGATTATTCTCAGCAGTAACGCCGCGAAGGAGAATACGCTCAGCAGTATTGTCGGCGAGCTCCTCAGCAGATTTATGAACGTCCTCGGCAGTCGCGTCGCGAAGAATACCGCTCAGCAGTAACGTCGAGAAGAATATCCTCAGCGATAAACCGCGTCGTCAAACTCTGAGGTCGAGAGAAGATCCTCCGTATAAGTGAACTCGTGAGCGATGCAAGCTCCTCCTTGTAACGTCGCACAAGGCGATTAGTCTTAGAGGAAAGCGTTGACGCACGTCCCTAATACTAAAGGTCGCAATTACCGTTGCGGTTGCTCCACGTTGTTAAGGTCGCAACAACTTGTGGTTGTCTGAGCTCCACGTCGCGACTCGCGATCATGACACCGAAAACGAATCGATTGATCTGCTGTACTAATAAGCGAATTACATGAAACGAATAAGCCATTCTGTCACGGTCGTCCAGTCAGGATGAAACGGATTGTAATACTCAGCTTTCTAATGAGCCTGAGGTGTCGCGCTGATACTAGTAGTAGCGCTGCGATGACGGCTTAAACCTCACGATCAATCGTAGCAATGCTTAACTCCCGAAAACTGTAGCCTAGTGAGAAAGATCAGTTTTCATCATCGCTAGTATGACTCATCGATCAGTTTCATGGTCAATCAGTTCCGTGCTCGACGACGCTGTAAGATCCTGCTATCATCCTCCTTAAGAATATTAAGGTTAACGCGCTTCGGGATATGCCACGTCACGAGAATTACCTCCACGGTACAATAATCTAAGGAAGCCATGGCTACGGATGAATCGAGTTAGAGAACGTGACGAGATTTGTTTCTGAGCACAAAGCCTGCACAGGGAATGCCTGAGAGGAATTTGCTAGTGACTTGGTGACGAAGATTTGGGGAAAAAACGTTTCAGTACGGTTACGAGTTTCAGTAAAGTTTCAAAACGGCTAAAAACGGTGAAACGTGTTTAAGAAAGGTGAAAAGTTGATGAGTACTGAGGTGGGGTGATGGTAAGAGAAAGGTGAAAGGGAAGTGACTGAGCGGCAAGGAGCCGCAAGTCGAGTCGCCATGCGGAGTGCTCCCCTCACCTCCACGGCAAGCCCGAGGGCGGAAGCCGCTGCAAAGTTCGCTGTTGGGTTGCGCAGCCATGATGAAGGCGGGAACGGCGGAAAGTGGTGGGTGGGAGTCTCAGTGATGACAACGTCTTTGGCAACCAGACGGCAAGTGCGCAGGCAAGAGCCGTCATGTGCGAAACTTTGAGTGACCACGAACTGTAAACACTGTGATGAGGGAAGTCGCTTCTCTTCATCTCGGCTGATTCGCATTCGGATTCGCATTCGCATTTGCATGATTGTATTGTTTTGACCAATCATCACCCCAGATGCTGTGGTTGTGGATGTTCATGACTCGTGACCCATGTGTGTAAGGAATTTTCCCGAATTCCTTATATCGGGGTTGACTGCTTCGCGTACAACCCCGATTTTCGGAGTTCGCACGTTCCGGCCGATTTCAACGACAACGCTGCCGAGGCTCCTCACGTCGCCTTCAGCTTTCCCATCGCCAAACCTGCACCCAACCTCTCGCGCTCCGGTCGAGTTTCCTCCTAGCTAGAGTAGTCCTACATTAGTCTGTGCATTCATTGTATTCGCAGTTGATTCAGTCACAGCTTCGTTATTCGTTTACCTGCGCACTCTCTTTTTACAA